AGGAGACAGTTGGTCGTCGCTGGAGGGGACGGAGTGCACCGTCCTCGTGACGGTGCTAGGCTCAAAGAGTGGTTCCATGCAACCTGTGTGGAACGGTCTACGGTCCAGCCACCGCCTCGTGTACGTCTGGTGTGTATGATTTCCCAATTAGGCCGTAATGCTTCCGTTCTGCTGGTTGAAGGAGTGTGGGCCGGCTCCGTTGATGAAACGTGGCTCCCATCCGCATGCCTCCCGGTCTTATTCCTTCGGGTTTACACCGTATATGGGGTGTGTGTGTGTGGAACTATGGGTGGTGCAGCGCAAGCCACCCATGGTCCCCTTTGTAGGCGCAGGCGTCCTGTGACTGTCCCCATGGACATCACAGTGACAGGCAAATCCGGATACTTACGCCGCCAAATCATGCATATTTGATCATGCCTTTAGAGGTGTGTCTCGTTTTAAAGAGAATGTACCATTTATTTATTTATTTATTTATTTATTTATAAACATACACTGGTACGGCAAACATAACGGATTCTTGCACATTCTTGACCATGCATTGTTATGTCAAAATGATCATGCCTGTTAAGGCGTGCCTGGCCTTGTCGAGAATAAAAACCTTATTTACTTAGTTATTTATTTATTTAATTTGTCGATCGGCCTACTAGATTCATGCTGGTTCAAAAACTGTCCCTCTTGGAACTGATCTTAGCTAGATACATATATTTGTCACTGAGATTGTATACAACCCACCTCTCGGTGCTATCGACTAAGGATGTCTCTCATTTAAGTGCGCCCTTAGTCGTCAGACTAATGATCATCCGACCGAGTTCCAAATTTATGGCGCGCGTACTTTCAGGCAATGAGAGCCAAGGCCGCAAACTCGCCTTGTGTCATTTTGGAAAGTGATGACATTCAAACGGCATGGAACGGATTTAAATCATACTTGAGTGAGCTCTCTACCCCCATATATCACTATCTGGCAGGAATAAAACTAGGGCAACGCCCCCTGGTTTGCTTCTGCTGTACGCCAGATGTTAAATAAATAAATCTTTTATTCTCAAAAAGGTAAGGCGCGCCTTTACAGGCATGATCATTTTGACATAACGATGCATGATCAAGAATGTGCAAAAGTCCGATATGTTTGCCAGAGCAGTTTGTGTTTGTGTAGGGGATATATATGTATGTCATTGTGTGTGTATGTGTAAGTAGCTGTGTATTTTGTGCTTGTAGTTTTGCTGCCCCAATCTTCAATGATTGCTATCGTCATCAATATGCCAGTAGGAGATTGGTGTCAGTGGGTTGGATAGAATTATCTGGATATCCACGGGCAGTGACTTTATTTTGTGGCGAGGCACGACCGCCACGTCACAGTGTTGTTAAGCAGACAGTTGTAGCTTTTTATAGGGCGAACGCTTGTCAGGCGAAACCCACCACGTGCTGGAACACTGCCGCCGAACTATTTGCTGGAACGGGTTAAACTCGAACCACCCAGCTGACACCACGAGGAGGTTGTTCGGCTAGCCAGCTCCTTAATTACGCACCTTCAAGCGATGTCGTGCGGTTCGAAATGCCTGCAGGCAGTATCTACAATGTGTTCGTCTACAGCATGAAGTACAGCTTGCTCGTATAGCCTTAGCAAACCCAAAACGCTTCTTCGCTTATGTCAAAAGGCGAAGCAACATGAACTCGTGCATCCCAGTGTTGTTTGGCCCTGACGGCACTGCTGCTCTCACGGATCACGAAACAGCTTGGTTGCTCGGAGAACAGTATGCTGGGGTTTGTGTTAGAAAGTCACAACCGCCGCATATCAGTCTCCAGGCAAAAGTTCCTGAGGGCTCCCACTTGGAGGAGGTTTTTATAACGGAGTCTCAAGTGCTCCGGCTTCTGAGGCAATAACAGCAAAATAAAGCTGCCGGTGGGGATGTTATTCATCCCAAACTGCTGTACGAGTTAGCTGATGAACTTTGCCGTCCGATTACCCAACTATTTATGAAGTGTCTACGAGGCTGCACTCTACCCAAGGACTGGAAGGAGGCTATTGTTTATCGCATTCTTAAGTGAGGTGATAAGCACCGTCCTGATAACTATAGACCGGGCAGTTTAACGAGCGTGCTGGTCAAGTTATTGGAAAAGCTCGTGAAAGACGCTCTCGAAGGACACCTGAAAGCGTTTGAGTTGCTCAATCCTTCTCAGCACCGCTTTCGTAAGGGGTATTCCTAACTTGCTAACTTGTTAACCGCTCGTGGACATTGGGCCGGTCTTTGCTTGCGGGAAGGCATTGTAAGTGCTGTTCAATGACTTATCCAAAGCTTTTGACACCGTTCCACATTCGCGTTTTTGTACAAGCTGAATTCCTACGGTATTTCTGGACCAGTCACGATGGACTTCAGCTTTCCTGATCGGAAGGGAAATGTTTGTGCGGGTGGGTTTAAGCCTGTCCTTCCGCTAATGTATTCGCAGTGGCGTTACGCAAGGTGCAATCCTTGGACCCCTCCGCTTCACTTCATACGTTAATGACCTACCCGATGAACTGGGTGTGCCACCCCTAATGTTTGCGGATGCCTTGAAACCTGGTTCAAAATAGACGATCCGATTGGTCCACTGACCCTACAGGGGGCTCTGGATAGGTTTTGGGACTGGTCAATTTTGTGGCAGTTGCCCGTGAATTTAGCGAAATGTTCCGCTTTACGCGTTGGTCCGAATGACCCGCAGACGCGTTACTTGCTTGGCGGCAATGAGGTACTGCGATTTCAACTTCAAGCTGTCCTCGGTGTTTTGCTGTCATCCGAATTTAAGTCCAGTGAACACTGGACTACAGCTGCTCGCAAAGGTTTCAACATGTTGTGGATGATCCACAGGTCATTCGAGATCATGACCACCAACATGTTCGTTAGACTATTTTCGGCATTTGTAAGGCAGCACTTGGAATACTGCGTTCATGCTTTTCCTCCATGCCTGGTTCATGATAAGATGACAGTTGCACGAGTCCAGCGGTCCGGGACGAAAATGGTACAGGGATTAAAGCATCTGACTTACCCGGAGAGGCTACGTAAGTTGGGTACGTTTTCCATGTATTACAGGCGGCTTCGAGGCGTCTTGGTCATCACCTATCGTATATTGATGGGTCAGACTGGTCCTGATTTGACTGGACTGTTTCGCCTAACTAGAGTATCAATCCTTCCTGGCCACCCGTTAAAGTTGCACAAACCCCGGCCTGACCAGGTTGGGGCAGCTTTTCGGTTATCGCGTAGGGTCGAATCTTATTGGAACGCATTGCCTGCTAACGTCGTGTTGGCACCGACGGTGAAAGAGTTCGAGCATCGACTTGACGCTCCAGGTCTGAAGTTTAACGTCGTCCTCTTCATGTCTAAAACTTTTCTTCGTCTACCACGGCCTACGCTTCTTTAATTCATTTTAACTCACATCTTAATATTGTATGCGAGATTCGATAAGCTTTTCTTTTCCTCTATTTCTTTTTCTTTACTGACACTTCTGTTTTCTTTTATTCTTCACGTGGCCGGCACAGCGGGGACTGATGGTGCAGGGCACGTGGGCATTGTTTGGTTGACCATGTGAATTGTGCGTGTTGATTTGGCTCTCCTTTGGCACATCAAGGCACCAGTTTCTCTGTTGGACCAACGACGTTTTCCAAGGTGGAACATTCGCAAGCTTTTCTTACAGTTCCGGTCCCACTTGAAATTGAAGTTGTTTCATTTTCACTCGATCCTACGGGGAAAGCTCTCGAAATTCACAAAAACATTCACCCTTTAGATGCGGAACCGGTTGAATAATGCGACTGGCCTGGTCATCATTTTGATATAAAATTTTAAGTAGGCAAATAATTGGGGAGTCCTTCTGAACTTACCGAGGGGAAACCCTAAACCACGTTGATTCCTGTTTCACGCCTAACGGAAAGGAAAAGGTAGCATCCGTTGTAGGAATTCCTGGTCATCAAAAATCCTTGCAGCTGGGGTGGCATTGATCGACTCGGCTGCATTCATGATGATAAGGCAGAGGTCAAGAGATGGAGCTTTGACATTCGCATGGTCCGCCCGCTTCTACACAGCCGGACAAACAATAAGCAGCCTTTCCAATTGTGCGACTGGCGAGAACGAAGTTTAACTGAGATCGAGATAACGACTTGGATTTTAGCCTAACTCCTGCCTTGTTTTTACGTTCAGGTGTTTCGTTTTAGGTCTATCGAGAACTAGCACCTTATCATTTCCCGGCTCAACGAGTTGCTCAAGAAGGAACACTCAAGGGATTTTTCCATCGTTCCAGTCCATCTGAATCTGAGATTTTGTAACATTTCCTTCACCACTTCCTCGTACGTCTTGAACTTAAGCTCTGAGCTCTGGTTAACGTCCGCCGGCGTCCCCGAAGAGGTGGGGTACGTTGCTCGGCTGCCCTTACCCGTTGGGGTAATTGAACCAGAAGCAAATGAGGTAATTCAAGGACTTGTAGCGAGAGAGCAGAGATGTTCATTTCGGCTTGAGCAGAAGAGGCGTGCGGACTGATAGCAGACAACCCAACAAAACCTTCTCTGTTGCTTATCGTAAAGTGGCATTGATCGCAAAAGAAACCTAGGCCCAGTAGGTTTGATCGCAGAAGAAATCCGTACAAATCTGGGTCTGACCCCGCAGCCAGCTATGTGGGTTCACCCATCGCAGATGGTGCACTGCAATGATTTCAGGCGCGAATTATCTTTATAACATGACAAGCTTTAAGACGTCATAGCGGATATAGTCTAGATACTCAACCAATGAACCTCCGCAAATAGCTTACTATCTTTTCCTTCGATCGCAAGACCTCAATGGAACAGAACGCTCAAGAGGAAGGCGCCATCCGTAGCCGCCTTAGCGCAAAATAGCAGTCATATAATATCCTGACGCATTGGTGCGCACCATAAGAATCCGCCATTGGAAATAAACTTACCGTTCTAGTCTAAATTAACAAATGTATTTTCTCTGTTGCCCTTGCCTCCCTTGGTAATGCTACTCGCAGTCACTGTGCCGTTTGCTCTCATACGCTCCAGACCCTTCAGTACGTTTCACACTCGGTGGTCTCTGGTCTTGTGATAGTGTTCGGATTCGTTTCCATGAACCTTTTAAAAACAAGCCCACATAAACATTTGGATGATATCGATCGTGGTCCCGATGGTCTGAATTTTGAATCTGCACGGCGTGTACGCACTATGCCTTGCAATGACCTGAACAATTCTCATTTCACCCATCAGTTCTCCGAAACGTTGTCCATAGTAAACGACTCTTCGATCGAAACTTGTGCGCCACCAAACGGTCCTTCAAAAAACTTTGACGGTTGTTGCAAAGCTCGGCACAGGATTTTTAATTCTTCTTCCCTTCCTAAACATTCCGCATTTAATTCATGCACAGCTTCCGACAGCCCACGGAAAACTGTCCTCGTTCAACCTTCTGACGGAAAGAAATTCAAAATCAATTCAAGATCAAGCGTGAGAAAGCAAAAACCTCCTGTGAGTGGTATACCGCTGATCATTTCTATGAGACTCGTCGAATGAACCAGATTTGCTGTTTAATTTTTCATTCTCTATCCCTACTTTGTATAATTCCATTTCCGCCTTGGTAGAAAAGGCATCTACTTTGGTGGATGTAACTCAGCGATTAGCCTAATTATTGTAGGTGTTTACACTGACTTGATAGCCTGGTGGTGCTGTGCCACGTTATTCGCTGACCACATCTGATTGAAGTTCGCATAATTGCTGTGACCAAATTTTTTAACCTGGCCGAAGTAAATATCGATAAACAAAGGACATTTTTATTTACTTTCGTTCATGTCTATCTAGGTGTACGTACTTTGAGAAGCTACTCAAGTTGGACATGTTTTCGATGTAATACAGGCGATTTCTGGGTGTCCTGTTCCTCACCTATCGCATAGTAACAGGTCAGATCGGCCCTGATATATCTCGACTGTTCCATCCTACTTGGGTGCTAACTCTTAGTGGTCATCCACTGAAGTTGAACAAACCCCGTTCGGACGGGTTGGAAGTGATTCTCGGTTATCACGCCGGGTTATACTCTTGGAATGCTCTGCCTGCTGCAGTAGTGATGGCACCAACAGTGAACCAGTACGAGCGTCGATTTGACGCCCTTAGTCTACAGTTTAAAACCTGCCCATCTTAGCTTTCCGCTTTTCTGTTGTTGCTTGCTCCTCTTTAACTTTCTGTTTTTCTTTCAAAATTATTACATTCATCGCTCCAGTTCGCCTTATTTTTATTCTTCCACTTTTTCTTCATTTCACACATCCGGCACTGCGGGGACTGCTAGTGCTGGGCACTTGAGCAGTTTTCTTGATCTAGTGTGTACCCTGCGTGTTCATTTAGCTCCTTGCAGATCGTTCCACAAATTTCACTCTGGGATCATCGGCGCTTTACAAAGTGGAACAATTCCAGTCCCACTTAAATTTGAACTTGAAACCCCGTGCTTAGTGGATGCCGCTTTGCATGGTCCTTACATCGAGTCGTTTATCACACACGCTTTGTGGACCAAGGGTACTTTGCCGCTTGATGAACTCGCGTTAATTCATTCTTGCATTCTCACGACCGGTGGCCGGAAGGAATGCGTGTCTGCTCTGCAGCCACATGGGTCACCGTTTCGAACTTCCGCATGTTCGGGTGATCTCGCAGTATCCGTAGCCTGCGCGGGAATGGTAGTCGCGTAATAGCGAAGCATTGGTGCACGCATCTGCATAGTTTTTTCATGAAGTTACAACTATTTTTATACTCAGGTCTGCACGAAACTTAATATGTGACAATTCGGATGATTGTTGTTTTAAAGCAGGATTTTATTGTTGTGCTTTTTTCTATAGAACGAAGTTCATAGTTCACTCCCAACGTCCTCATGATTAATCATCATCATCTTCATTATATACGTTTGCTGGAGGTGGGAAACACCTCAGTTACTGTGCCGCAATACATAAAAAAGGAAAAAATGCAACAGCTGCATGCCAGCTGAGCTTTCTGTGACGGATGGGCATTGTTCCAGAAAGCTACCAGCCGGCTACTATGCAGCAAAAAATTATGCTAAATCATATTAGACTGAGTTGGAAAGGGAGACTAAGAGGGATGGGGTAGGACAAAGAAACTCACAGCACGAACGCCACGAAGATCGTCTCCTAACCATATCTGCAAGTGTATACAGTCAGATATGTTCATCATCTTTCGGACCCCAACCAGGGAAACGAGAAGCTCTAAGTGTGGCCAGCCTCGAAGTGAGGGCCTTCATTCCTCTCGACCAAGTCATCGCTTGACTACCTCTTCTCTTCTTCCGTCCACTCCCCTGGCGCGCAAACAACGCACGTCGCGGGAGTCGGTGGGCTGGTATGCGTCTCGTAATTAACAAAAATAAATAAAAATAATGTCTTAGCTGTACACCGTAACGGCGCTCCGCTGCCACGCGACTAACACCAGTCACGCGTCGGCTGAGTATACCGCGATGATGCCCGCCCTTACACGGATTCGAACCGGTGATTTTATGACTACAAACCGGGTGTGCAGATCACTCGGTCACCGGCTGCCTCATACTTCGGTTTCCATCGTGAAATGAATTGTGTATTACATTGTTGCGCAACTTTCATGCAATTTGTGCATGCCTGTCTCTCAGCATCACGAGCGTGTCATCTACATTTCGGATCTATAGTTTCGAGTTGATGCCTCGGAGCTAGTTCTCTTCCAACTACCACCGCAATTATTTATGATATTGGGGATCTCATCGGAACACATTTCACTCTCCTCATTCCAAACTTCCATGGAAGTGAAATGGGTCGAGAGACATAGGGCAAGAGCTTCCGTATGCTTTCAGTTGTCAGCTTCCACATTAGTTCAGTTGTTATCCGGGCTTTCTGTGATGGTTTTCTTTGCAAGTTGTAAGTTAGTAGAAGTAAATACAGCTGTGACATCGAAGGGTATCGTTATTTCTACGTAAATAAATTCTTTATTCTTGAACACTACGAGGTACGCCTGTATAGGTGTTGTTTATAGATTGATGCTGGACCTTACCGTGGTGCGATGGTTTATGTTCCTCAGCGATCCATTGAGCTATGCTGGGTGGTGCATTTTCGCTCCTTCAGAGCCACTCATCCCAGATGGGTCAATGGTTAGTGGCCAGACAAACTCAGCCTCCCGGTTTTCCAGGTTGAGGCTTTCAATGAGGTGGCTCCTTATTTCTTAAAACGGACTCCTTGTAACCCAACGCCAAACCCGCTGCCTTGCAATCAGGTTTTTGAATCAAAAGTTTTGGTTGAGAACCCTAATCGTTTTCCTGTCTAGGCCTGGGCAACCTGACAGTATCCTGCCTACGCGCTACAATGCATTTCTCTCCACTCAGTTTCTTGATGCTCTGGCCACCGCAGAACATAATCAACGGTGCCCTATCTGCTGCGTCGAGCAGGGTGGATAGGGGTTTGGATGCTACTGCTTAAGCCTTCCCATCTTCTTATTCCCCCTCTTGCGCTTTTTCTCTCTTACCGTCCTGTTCCAGATTCATTTTTATTCCACCTGTTTTCAACTCCCCAATTCTTGGCCCTCCCCCACCTTTCTTTGCTAGGCTTTTACCTAGTTTCAACTCACGTGTGAACGCGGAGCGTCATTCCTGTCCTATCGACAAGCCCTTGTCCAATCAAGCCGCCAAGCCCATTTCATCGACTTCCATTTGGAGCCCTCTATCATTTTTCAGATTGGCATGCTTCAGTGTACGCACGTTGCTCCTGATCGGTCAACAGGCAGCACTTGCCTGAACAGAAAAGACCCTATCGGTCGATACCTTCTGCTTATCGGAGACCTGCCTGCAAGACTCCAGCTCTGTGCTCACTTTGTGATCCACTTCAGGTGACACCAGCAGCACTTTCCCATTGCGCCTATCCAGTGACGATGCAGCTTCGATCACTGGCCCATCCGGTGTGGGTATTGACCTGAGTCTGGGCTGAAGCTGCTCTGGTTGACTGGATTCCATTCAGTAGCCGGTTGTGCGGTCCGATTGGCTGGCTTGTTCCAAGCTTTGAAGTCGCGTGGGACTAACAGGTGTCTATTCGTCATCGCTGCCTATGTACCCACAAACTCTAGCAATGATACGGTACAAGAGGACTTCTATCGCCAAATGAACGAGCTCCTTCGCAACAGAAGAAGCTCGGACACTGCTGTGCTGGTTGGGATCTGAACGCTCAAGTTTGACATTTATTCACTGATGAACTTCATCTGGGCGGTCAACATGGTGTAGGCTCCCGTAATGATAACGGTGAGCGGTTACTTATTTGTGTGAGGATGCTCGCTTATTTCTTGCGAGCACTAATTTCCGACACAGCACCCGCCGGAGGGTGACTTGGCGCCCAGCAGCCTCGAACCACCTATGGACGCAAATCGATCACATTGCCATAAGTCACCGATGGAAAGGCTGTGTCCAGAACTGTCGTTCTATTTGGAGCACAGGTGTGGACACCGACCATGCACTTGTATGTTTTTTTTTGCGTTTTGGCGGACGCCCAAGATGTCGGTGTGAGCGCATTGACACAAGTCAACTGGCGAAACCAGTTGTTCTGAATGCTTATCAAAGTACGCTGTCATGCGATTTGAGTAAGCGCTCACTGGAGACAATTGAAGCTCACTGGTCTCAAATTCACCGATCTTACTAACAGCAGGAAAAATCCTCATGTGGAAAGTCTAATCGCCAACATGCATATTGGGTCTCTTCACAGTCTCTGGAACGTATAGATGCTCGCAGGCATATTCCGGCTGGAAGCAAACACAATGAAACTCGCAAAGAGCTCCGGGCAAAACTCCGTGCTAGCCCGAAGAGAGACCGCGAATCCTGGTGGCCTCATCGTGCATCTGAGCTGGAAATGGCGGCTGCCCTTGGTAACCATCGTAAGTTATTCCAACTGATACGGGAAACGGGTAGTAGAAGACCTGGTGTTAGTGAAACTATACATGACGAGAGTGGACAGCCTATCGACAACTTAGCAAAACGCTTAAAGCGTTGGGCTGAGCACTTTAAAAGGCAATTTAATCGGTCGGAAGTGTTAGATTCCTTCCCGGCCACTGATCGCCCCGCACCCTGGACTGTCCCCTTGGATCCACCCTCTCGCTCAGAAGTCGAACGTGAGATCCAACTATAGAAGTTAAATAACGCCGTGGGACCTGATGATCTACCTCCATCGCTCTCAAGTTTGGGGGACCTGCTCTTGTGGGTGATTTACACGAGTTACTAGTGAAACTGTGGGAGCAGGAAACTGTCCCAACCGACTGGAGCCGCTCCGTCATAGTCCTACTTTTCAAGGGAGGCTCGCGATCGGAATGCGGCAGCCATAGGGGAATCAGTCTTATCTCCATCGTCTCCAAATTGCTTGCCTCTGTCATCCTTCACAGACTGACTGGCACTCGTGAAAGACAGATTCGTGAAAAGCAAGCTGGATTTCGTCGAGGTCGTGGCTGCATTCACCACATCTTCACCTTGCGTCAGCTGTTGAAGCACCGTCACATATATTGGCGGCCCACCATTGTCGTGTTCCACGATATCAAAGGTGCATTCGATTCGATACATAGACATGCACTTTGGGACTGTCTACTCAGGAAAGGTGTACCTGAGAAATATGTGAATATTATCCGAGCATTATATGCGCGTAACTCAGGCAGAGTGACGTCTTACGGCAAGTTGTCGTCGCACTTTAAAATCTCCAGCGGCGTGAGACAAGGATGCCCGCTGTCCCCTTTCCTCTTCAAATTCGCTATTGACGAAGTCATGGAAATCGCGTTCACAGGACAAAACTTTGAAGATGTGCATCTGCTCCCAGGAGAACGACTTATTTACTTGTAGTGTGCAGACGATATTACCTTAATCTCTGACAGCTCCCAGATGTACCAAGCGACACTGGATAGATTAACACTGGCTGTCAGCCGCTTCGGGCTTTGCTTTGCACCATCGAAGTGCAAAGCGTTCCTCCAAGATTGGCCTGGACCGCCTCCTTCGCTGACCGTTGGTGGGAATCAGCTAGAACTCGTTCAAAAATTAAACTACCTTGGAATTTGTATCAGCACCCGTGGGATTGAGGATGAGATCACTAACCGTATAACAGAAGCTCGGGGCGCTTTTGCTACCATTCGCCACGTATGGCGCCGGCGCGACATCACTCTCGCCCTGAAGGGTAGAGTGTACAGTGCAGCGGTACGTTCGACCCTACTGTACAGTTGTGAAACCTGTCCCTTAAAGCAACGGACCTGAAGAGGCTAGTTACGTTCTACTACCGGTGCCTTCGCAATTTGGCGCACATCCGGTGGGAACACCGCATCAGCAACGAACGTGTTCGCCGCCTTGTTTACGACACAGGAAAAGAAACTGAACCGCTCAACACCGTCATTTCACGCCCCAGGCTCCGATGGCTCGGCCACGTGTTACGCATGCCAGCCCACCGACTTCCGCGACGTGCTTTGTTTGCGCGTCGGGGGTGTGGATGGAAGAAAAGGAGAGGTAGTCAAGCGATGACTTGGTCGAGAGGAATGAAGGTCCTCACTTCTGAGCTGGCCTCGGTTGGAGCGTCTCGGCTGCTTGATTGGGGTCCGAAAGACGATGGACACGTTTGGGTAGATACACTTGTTGATATGGCTAGGAGCCGACCTCAGTGGCGTTCGTGCTGTGAGTTTCTTTGTCCCACTCCACCCCTCTTAGCCTCCCCCTCCAACCACGATCTCATTATTTAGCCTTATATAATTTTGCATAGTAAAGTATATTTTTTCTGCTGCATGGTATCTGGGAGGTAGCTTACCGGAACGATGCCCATCCGTTACCGGTAGCTCAGCTGGCTTGCACCTGTTGCATTTTATTCCCATTTTTATTTTAGGTATTGCAGCACAGTAGGTGAGGTTTTTCCCACCTCTAGCTAACGTGTACAGTGTGTGTGTGTGTGTGTGTGTGCTATAGATTGATACA